TTCTCACTAATAATGTAGGGGTACACAATGCGAAGAAAAGTAGCCATCACTTGGTAAAGTTGCTTTGTTAAACAAGGCTACCACAATCCCACTTAATAGCTTCCGGAAAATACCGCGTTTAATCGTGATTTTTTTTGGCGGTTTCTTTAACGAAGCATTCAGACTGGAACAGTTCGCCCATCGCCATCGTGACGAGATTCGCAAAAATTCCCAATTTCGGCGTCATTTTCAGGAAATGTGCGCTAGCGTTGGCGTTGACCCTCTCGCTTGTAAGTTCTCATCGTAATGAAATAACTCCAAATGACATGAGAATTTCAGCTGGAAAGGGATTTTGGGCAGAAAAGCTTGGAGTGGGAGACTTTTACTACGAACTCGCTGTTCAAATTGTGGAGGTTTGCTATCAACGTGAACTCGTTGCAGGTGTTTCATTTTCTATTTAGGTCTGTTTATCAACCAACCACATTAATGGAGGAATCATGACAGTAGAGGAGATTAGGAACCGTTTGATGCGCAGCCGATCGCGCACTAGGAAGGAAACTATCACTACGTGAGATTTTTCGCTTTTATATTAAAGGGATTTACTCCTGAAATCCTTGTCTAGCTTACCTTCGCTTTGCAGAGACGATATCTTGCGTGCTGTTGACAAGCTCAAAGTATTGGGAGGTGGATTTGAGTTGGTGCCATTGGGTGGGGGCCGTTTCCTTGTACAATCTGTCCCCGGTGAGCTGAGCATGGATCATTCTCGTGTTCTTCAACTTGCAGAAGATGCAGCTTACGTCACTAAGGAGCTTATAATCGATAGGCTGCGGTGCGTTGTTATAGTATTTGACTTATCTTTGTACTGAAGTTGCTACTTCATATCGGATGACTATAGATGGGATGAACCACGAGCTCAAGCCGTCTTGGACCATCTTGTGAAGGAGGGTTTGGCTTGGGTTGATGAGCAAGCCACTGATACAATTCAGTATTGGGTACCTTCTCTGTTTCTACAGCAATACTGTCATTCATCTAGTAGCACAAGTGTCTCAGAAAGTCTTCAAAGCATGACTGCTTATTAGAGAAACTTATTGGCTAAAGCTGATTTGTGCATACCATGCTTGCCACTTTCTACATTCTGACATTTTTGGTCCTCTTCAATTTTATGGCGAAACTTATTCGTGTTAAGCTAGCCCA